TCCGGTGTCGGCTGGAAAGGAAGCTGGTGGAGGCGCTCCCGGGAGGATGAACTTGACTGGCAGAAGGGGGGATATCAAGGCCACCGGTCAAGGTCAGTGCCACAGTTAGGACTCTAGTACTATCCCTCAAGGCCCAGGCTATCTGCTAGTCATCACATAGTAATAATATCCTCACTGGCTCCTATGCATCCCTCCAAACCCCAGCTCTAATACCTCCTCCTCTAGAAAGCCTTCTCAGCCTGCTCCCTTGACAGCCCCAAGAACCCCACTGGCCAGACTCTGACTCCATGGGCTGGGGAGATGTCTGTGTCCCCCAGAATAGGGACTCTTTGGGTCTGAAGCTGGGGCCTCTTAGCCACATTGCCCAGAATGGGCATGAACATAGCCAGGATGTTTACTGACTAGATTAGACAATGATCTGACACTTTGCTGAAAACCAAAGATGGGGTTCCCCCCCACCTTGCACCTGCCTGCCTGCCCATCATGGAGGACTGTGGGTACCGAGACAGTGGAGCTGGGTGTGTTGGTTCCATAGCCAGAAGACGGTAGGGATGCAAGGGACCATCTTCTGCCGTCGGCTCTGGAGAGGGAAAATCAAAACAGTTGGAGGACAGGGTCCCTGTGGCTTTCAGGGACTAAGGAAGGACACTGCGGCCAGCAGTCTGTGTCATTCTATAAAGGCTGAGAATAGGGATTCAGGGTGAGTAAATCCTCTGTGTACTTTCTCCTCATCCATCAGAAACTTCCTTCAGAAGTTCTCCCTGAGTTCAGCTGCCAGTATGGCCCCCATCAAAGCAGCAACCTCAGAATCATAGCTGCTAAGGTATAGGCTGGTTATCCCCAGCAGACTGAGGACTCCCTGAGAGCCAAAGTCCAGCTTCCCATGACCTCAGCCCCCAGCAATGAGCATGGCATACAGCAGGGACTCAGTAAGTGCTGTTAAATGAATATGTGACATGTAAGTGCCTGGCACACAATAGCAGCTCCATCAGCTTGTTAAGTGAATTAATGACTTTCAGTATATTTATGATTCTTGGATGAGGCAGTACCCTCTCCTCCTCCCCAAGGGCTTAATGAAATTACCTGTCCGTGCGCTGGACCTGGCTGCAGAAGGTCACAAGTTTCTCAGGGGGCAGACGCCAAAGGGTGAGACCACCAAAGGGCAGGGGCCGGGGCAGGGAAAAGGTAAATGAGGAGGCAGGTCCAGCCACCAAATGCATGTTCCGTGCCTGTCCCCTTGCCAGCCCTGCCAACACCATCTTGCAAAACCAGGGGCCACTCACCTTCGGGCAAAAGGGAAATTGAGAGCAGATGCAGCTGAGAAGTTCCGAGGGCTGTCCAAGGGGCTGCTGCCTGCTGAGGAGGAGCGGGTAAACTGAGTCAGAGTGGGCGGAGACTGCACAGCATCCACCCACTGGCTGGCTTCCACACTCACCGGTTGGGACAGATAGTGGCGACAGGGGCCGGGAAAGGGTGGGTGATGGTGTTCCTACCACCAGGCTTTTGCGGTTCCCGCTGCGGCAGCTGTGGGGATGGTGTGGACAAGTCAGGTGCTGGACCAGCACATTAGGCTTAAGGCGCCAAGTGCCCAGGCTGGAGCACATGTGGTCAGCTTTGCAGCAGAACAGTGAGCACGACCCCTCCTACCACACTCCTCAGCTGGACTCCCCCACGGCCCTGAGCCCAGCCTCTGAGCCCCATGAGGAGTGTATTTGACAAATAGTACCTATTACTAAAACAATTGCTGCTCTCATTATCATCAGTGGTGGCATGATGTGGACCTGGCACATGGTCAGGGCACCCCATAGTGCCCATTGCCAAGAATACTGGCAAATCAGGCAGTGGGTAGAGAGAATCCTGGAGCCCAGGGTGGGTAGAGGCAGACCCCCACTCCATTCCATGCATTCCTTTCAGGGCTGCTGCCCCAATTTTTGGGCAACCTCCTTTGCAAAGGTCCCCCCAAATGCCCATCAGTATCTTTCAGTTTGGTTCTGTCCTTCCTGTACTGCCAAACTTTTGCCCACAGGTTTCTCTCCCCAGCTCCCGTCTGGTCCCCAGGCCCTTGGCCCCAAAGCTCCCAGCCCCCGCCCTGGCACAGCAAAGTTAGGAGCGACACCGTACACCCGCCCCCCAGAGCAGTCGCCCAGCAACGGCTCTGCTTGCTCGACAAGTACAGCAGCCCACACACCCAAAGCCGCCAACGCAGCTCAGGCGCCAGGCAGAGCAGCACAGGGAGGGAGAGACCTGGGGCCTCCCAGGGCCGGAAACTGTCCTGGGAGGGAGGCACAATGCAAGTAAAGGTGTGGGAGAGCATGGTCAACTGATAACTCAGGTAATGAGGCAGCAGGGTAGAGGGAGCTGTCTGGCTACAGCTCCATGTGAGACTGCTCCTCTGGGCCTCAGTTTCCCCATTTGTATATTTTGCAAGGTGATGAGAAGATGCCAAGAAATCCGTACACCTCGCTTGGCTGTGGGCCAGGTGGGTATACATACTGTCCTCTTTTTCCTGACATTGCTCTCAAGGCCTGGCTTGCAGTAAAAGCACAGATTGTGTCCCCCCTTAGCAGATTAAACACTCATATCTGCCAAACCCAACATGTCCAGAATTGGGAGAACAGCTGTACCCATTTCCTAGTCCAGAAAAACTGAGGCCACAGATAGCAACAGTCACAGTCCCTCATCTGTGGGACAGAAGCAAAAGTGAAACTCACAGGTTCCTGCAAAATGCAAAACTTCCTGCCATCCCCGAACCCACCCCACCCAACCCCACCCCCCTACCTCCACCCCCCCTACCCCCACCCCCCACCACTCCCACATCCTCTCCCAGCCCCTCACCTCGCAGCCTCATCTGACACTTCCAATAGCATTTGGGAAACACTTGACCTCCTTCCTCTTGCTCTTAGGCAGCCCTCTTGAAAACACAGCCAAATTTGAGATCTTAAAGGGGAACTGGGCATCACTTCCCCAGCATGTGTGGAGAGTTGACTATTTGCTTGACACTCTCTGAAGGTGGCCCAGGACACCAAGAAACTGTTTAGCTGTTCAGTAACTACGCATGTGTTACAACAGAAAACAGGGACCCAAGGCTAGCTTCCTGAACCCAATCTCTAAGATGCCAAGGGCCTCAAAAGCAGGCCATGAAGGGAGAAAGTCCGAGCCCTGGGAAGGCATTCAAGGTCCTTTAGCAGTTGCTCCTCTGTGCAAAGAGAGGCTAAGGAACTGCCTGAAGTCACACAGCCTGCCAGTGGCTGAGCTAGAATTGGAACCTAGGTCCCACAGAGCCTACAGCTCTCCCTTAGACTCTCTGCTTTACAGAAGGGATAACAGACTTAAGCGAGGCTAGGCTTTCCTTGGAGTGAAAGTGATGAGCTCCTGACACCCACATGCACACCACCTCGTGCAGCAAATGTTTGCTTCTGAACCAACATTTCCACTGACTGGGCCCCAGGTACAGATCAGCCTCAGATTTTCCAAGAAGCTCCTCCCCGGGTCTGCCCAGACCTGGATACCCAAGTTCGAATCCTGACTCAGTCCCAACTCCCTGCAGCCTCTGTCATCATCCCAGCCGCGACCCCAACGAGCAGACGACGACGAGCGAAAGGGGCTGCCTGGGACGCCCCGATCCCAAAGCATCCTCCCCCGGCCCCTCCGGCCGCGCACGGTGCCCTCGCCACGCCGCCGGGACACACTTCTGGCGACTCGCGTCTACTCCGCTGGCCCCGCGCCCGCCAGCATCGCGGCGCCTACCTCTTGGAGCGCTGCAGCAGCGCGCCCTTGGCCAGCCGGCTCCGGTGGCCGGGCGCCGCCACGGCCGTCCAGTAGCTGGGGTCGGACATGCTGCTTCTCTTTGTGCCGCCGCCGCCGCCGCCCTGAGCCCGGGAGGCGCGGGGGCGCAGCTGGCGGCGGCGGGGCGCTCACCTCGGCGGCGGGATCTGCCCTGGGAGCCCGGGCGAGCGGGGCTGGGACGCGCGGGGAGGGGGCGCCGCGGGACTGGGGAGGGGGCGAGCAGAAAGCGCGCGCCCCGGAGCGCGGCCGGGAACCCCGCCCAGACGGGCGCGGGGGCGGGGCGTGCAGGGGGCGGGGCCAACGACGCGGAAGCGCGGCCGGCGGACCCGCGGCAGGCGAGTGGGCGGGGCGTTGCCATAGTCGCGGCCGGCGGGGCGGGGCGTTGCCAGCGCCGCGACTGGCGGAGGCGGGGCGTTGGTGGCACCTGGCTGGTAGGCATTGGAACCTGGCTCCGTGTTGTAAAACGTAAACCTGAGCATGCCCCTTCTCCCCCTCGCCCCGGTCCTCTTTTGAGTGTGGTACCCAGCATCCTGGCCCGGTTTGAGCTATTACGTCCACTTTGGCCCCCCAGAATAGCCTTCCAGGCTGGCAAAATCCAATGCCCCTTCCCTCCATCCTCTCTGGTGTCTGTCCGGTTCTGTCTTCCCCAGGCTTGGGATCCTTGAGGTCCCAGCTTCCCTAGCACTGGACTGACACAGAGGACATGTTTGGCAGATTGAATCAGTAATCAGACATTTGATTTAGCTTCTCAAGCCTCAGTCTTTTCAACTGTAAACTGGGAGAATACTGGGCTGACACAAGAGTTAGAAGTAATCAGGCAATGGCCACAACAGTGCCTGGTATATGTTCAGTAAATATTAGCATCAGGCTAACATCCAGGTTTCTGTTTCAGTGTCTATTCGTGTCCCCTAGTGAAATGGAATAGAATTGCATTTACAGACCACATAAATGATGGTGGCCCCAAAAGGCTGTACCACATAAGTCTGTGTAACAATACTGTGACATGTGCACAACAACAAAATTGTCTAATGATAAATTTCTCAGAACATATCCATATCCTTTTTCCTTCCAGCCACAGATTTTGCTTCTCAAGTCTCTTCCTCTCTCAAACTTTCCATCCTATCCCAAGATTACCCAAATAGTCCAAGCCTGTAGCCCATATCTGACACCCATCCTGACCATTTGTTTACTCAACAAACATTTGTTTACTCAACAAGTACCTACTGTCTGCCCACCCTTTGCTGAACTCTAGGGCCCAGTGGGAACCAGGCTACAAATGATCCCTGCCCTCTGGGGCCCCCAGTGTGGTGGGGGAGGCAGAGAGTAAACAGGAAACAGATAAACAAACCACGTAATTTCAAATACAGAGGTAGAAGAAGGAAAAGAACATAAGTAACACACCAAAGGAGGCCATCAGCCAGGAAAACTTTCTGAGAAGATGTTTAGCCAGTCAAGACTTTGAGAAGGAAGATGAGCCAGCCAGAGAGCGCACCCCAGGTAGAGGGTAAAGTTCATGAAAAGGTTCCGAGGTAGGTCAGAGGGCTGCCTGTCAGTAGGGCTGATCACACAGGCCTTGTGGGCTGCAGGAGGAGTGCAGGTTTACTGTATGAACAATGGGGAGCCATGGGGCTTGTGTGAAGAGGGGAGGAGTGCGGTCTGTTTGTAAATCCCCAATATGTACCATGGGGGACAGAAGCTGTCAGGGGCAGAAGTGAAGGTGGCAGGAGGCTAGTGATGGCCTGTAGAGAACAGTGGGTATATTCTGATCTTGTTTTGTACCCACGGATCAGGCCTTGTTAAGGGGTCAGGTGTGGAAATGGGGATGAGAGTGGTCACCTACAACTTCTAGCCACATCATGGGACAGAGATTTCTATATGTGTAGGGATTCGAGGTCTCACAGGTCTAGGGACAGAAATGTGGTTGAAGTCATGGTCTCGTGTCACCACATTCTGATATAGAGTGCCCTAAGATCCCGGCCCCCCATGTGTGCCAAGGACACCTCTACACATGCTTAACAAAGGAGCCGACTCTCACCCTCAGCTCCCCAGTCATGGCTGCAACCCATATTGCCTGTATGCCCCCATCATGCCCAAGGTGGTGGCATTGCCAGGAGTTACTTTTCCTATACTGTCTGGCCTCAGTTCCCTCCTTTGTAGAACAGGGCTGCAGCTGACAAACCAATGGGCACATGGCCATGGCAAAGGCCTGCCATGAAAGGTTGATTGAGCTGCTGATTCTCTGCCCACGAGATCATGGCCCTCCCCTGCTCAGCATTTTCCATGGCACCACATTGCTTTTACAGCAAAATCACACTCCTGGGGGAATCCCTCTTCCAGGACCCAAATCCAAGCCCTAACTTTACTTCCCTCTGTTTAGGTGCACTAGTGAATGTGTAAATGGCAAAGCCCTAGGTGGGCATGCTGACCCACACTCCTGACCTGTCATCGTCAGTCTGATCTCTGCAGCTCTCCCCACCTGTCTATGTACTGTCCTCCCCACTCCCAGTCTCCTGTGTCACACTCCTCTGCCCATGGAGAAAATCCAATTTCTTCCTTTCCTTGGTGTTCAGGAACCCAGAAGGAACACGCCTTAGACAAAGCTATTCCAGCTTGGAACAGCCTCTTTGTCAGCAAGGGTCCAACTCACAACTTTCTGTAACTGCCCTTCCCCACCCCCATACATACCACCATAGATAGAGTCCTCCCAACTGCTCCCCATTTGTCCATGCCACAAGTATTAACTGAGCATCTGCTGTATAGCAGATTCTGTCTTGAGGATAGAGTATAACCAGGCCAGATCCAGGTGTGGCCTCAAGAGGCTCCCAAACCTCTGGGTAAACCATCTAATAATCACATTAAGAAAACATGGAAATCATATCCATGGTGGGAGGCCAGGATGAGGGAAGTGGACAGGTGTAATGGATGTAACCAGAAAATGAGGGGCCCTCATTTTCTGAAAGGGAGGAGGTGGTGAGAGAAAGTTTCCTATCTGAGGGCTTGATAGAGACTTAACAACCGAAGAAAGGAGGAAATGGAGCCCTGGCAAGACAGCAAGTGCAAGGGCCCTGAGGCTGGCCCAGAAGTCACACAGTTAAACGGGGAGAGTAATGCGGAAGTGGTGGAGGAGACAGGGAGGTCACAGGGGTGGGACTCATGGTGTCTTGGAGGCTGAGGGGACAAAAGTTGGCTTGTTTCTAGGTGCGGAACAGAGGAGATAGGGACCAGATTCCTTGCCCAGCCCATGATGATGGGGCTCTGCTACCCCCTAGTGGTAAGTGAGGGGGGCAGCATCTGCCTGCTCGCATTACCTTCTGGTAAAACTGGCTTAGCTGCTCCTAACAGGTCCCACCCTTAATCCTTTCCTTACCTGGGGTAGAAACCAAGGGCTCAGTGAGTCACATGGGACCTCACACTCTCTCCAGGACACCACTGGATGACACATTCTGAGAGCCTGTGCCTTAGTTTCCTTCTCCACTATATAGGGGTGTTAGCATTCCCTGGAGGCCAATTGATCCAGGCCAATTGATCCAGGCCACAAGATCTCTTATTTGGATGTTGCCCTGGCCACCTCCTTGCCTCTGCCATCTGGATTCCTGGCCCCAGAAGACCTTTTTCCCCACAAGGCAGCCACAGAAGATTAAGAAAAGGGCCTCCCTGGTGGCCTAGGGGTTAAGTCTCAGCACCATCACCACTGCAGCCTGAGTGGCCAGGGAGCTGACCCACAAGACACAGGAGACCTCTCCTGTCTTGCCTACTGCTGCCTGTAGCCATGTATTTCAGTAGATCTACCTGTTCTACTCCCCACTCTGTCTCTGGTGAATCCTCTTAACTACCCCCTCCCCCCCATGCCTCTAGCCTACACCGCAGTTCTTATGTGTATAAATATATAAAAATAAATATTTTTTAAAAAGAAGGTTAAGAAAAAGTCCTCAGAACCTTTGCATGTGGAGTTCCCTCTGCCTGGTATCACTCTGCCCAGGCTCAAACATCACCTCCCTCCATAGGTTCCCTGTCTGACTGTATCCTGTTTATCCTTTCACTTGTTCCCTGGCCCCCTTCTGAGAGCCTCATGAGAGGAAGGACAAACCTCTCTTACTCACAGCCATACCCTTTGCACCTCACACACAGTGGGGGCTTAATAAGTGCTCGTTGACTGAATGAAGATATCGCTGTTGCCCAGCACCCAATGCAGACACCAAATCATTTTTTCTTCTCCCCATTAAAGGCCTCTGGGAACAGCCTGGTTAGCTCATTCAAACTAATTGATGAGCTTCAAATTCTAGACGTCACTGACCCTCACATCTGTCCCCTCTCTGAACTGGGGTGCAAACTGTTCGACAACGCTGGCCTTCCCTCCTGTGCAGAGGCAAGGCCCTGAGACCTGCCAGTCACAGAGGCTGACTCAAACTCTCAACAGACTCTGGTTGGTAAAAGCTGGCCCTGAGCCTCAGTTTCCTCAGCTGGGAAACAGGAAGAAAAAGAAGGTACTCATTATTGGCAGAGTTGGAGTTCAAGTCAAGGTTCTTTACTTCTTCCACCACTTTGCCTGGTTAAACTCAGGGCACAGGCTCCAATAGTGGACCTGTGTGTGTGTGTGTGTGTGTGTGTGTGTGTACATTTAAAAAGAGATTTCTGGCCAGCTGCGCTGGGCATTGGGAATATCCTTGAAGTCACAGTTGATTCAGTTCAAAGGGCCCTGAGCTGGCTGGGAACGTGCCACCTGTCTTGGGGATGTCCTTGGGCAACAGTTCCAGTTCTGGCCCTGACCAGGCCATCTGTCAACCAGGGGACCTGCTGGGTCTGGCTTAAAATGGAATTTCACTATCATGACTCTAGTCTGGATTGCAGCACCATTTCATGGATGAGTAAGCTGAGGCCCAGGCAGATGAAGTCACTAGCCCCACAGCACCTTGGACAGGGAACTGGGTCTGGGAGGTTTCCAAAACTGTGGGCTGTCAGGACTGCCAGGATGGTGTCTGACCCTGTCCCCAGTGTTGTCACTTACCTCCAGGGATGCAGGCCCATGGAGGGGCTGCAAGGGCTGCAGGGGCTGCTGGGACTCAGCAAGGCCGGGCTCTGGCTGCTTGGAGACAGACTGTAAAGAAAGAGGCCAGGGACGGTGAACCTGGCCACAGCCCCTGCGGGTGGCTAAATACGGAGACTAGACCAGGGCTACCGTTCACTGAGGGAAAAGGGACGAAAGGCCCAGGATTCTGGGTTTCGCGCAGGCCGCGAGGGCGGGGCCGGACAGATGACCCGGGAGGGCTACCTGGAGGCGGCGGTGAGACTCAGGTCGACCTGAAGGGACACTCGAGGTAGGGGGGCTGTCTGGCTTCCCCTCAGTCCTTCCTACACCACCCCCCTTTCCTGCCCAAGCACTCACTCGAGGGTCAGAGCCGGGATATGCAGCTTGTCCCTGCGGGACTTCATGCTGAGGCCGGGGCTGCGTCTACGCGGACGGGTGCCGACGCCCCCTTCTTGGCCTCCAAGCACTGAGGTGGCACGATCCGACAGACAGACAGACGCGGACGCAGGGACAGCACGCCCAGCGGGCGCGGCCGACGAGGCGCGGGGAGGGGGCGGGCTCTCTCCGCCTCGGGGCGGGGCTCGGAACCCCACACCTGCGCGCAGGCCCAGCCCCGCAGGAGGGGGTCGGTTGCGGGAGGCTGGAGCCGCGGGCGCCACCCCCTCTCGGGGCGGGACACCGAGGAAGGCTGCCGGGTCTCGAGCGCCCAGATCGCGCGGCGACAAGGACGGCCTCTGCCTCCTCCCGCAGTGTCATTGCTCCAGCGCCGGGCCCCGCCCCCCCGGCCGCCTCTGCCTCCGCCCAGCCTCCGGGGGGCTCGGGGACTTCAGGTCAGCGCGGCGTCTCGCTCCAATCCCTGCCCCCCGCTGGGCGTTCCCAGTCTCTGGCGGCTGGTCTCAGAAGGCCGCGCACAACTGAGGCCTGACCACGCCTCCAAGCCTTTGCTCCACCCGCTTCCCTCTGCTAGGCACGCCGTCCCCAGACCCAGGCTCAGCCCGGCTGAGAAGCCATCACCCATGTTTCCCTGCGCCCCACCCTCCCTCCTGTGCAGCCCAGACGCCGAGGGTCAGGGTTGTCTTGTGTTTGGCTCTGGTCCCCTGGAAACCTGGTTGATCTCCATCAAGCACATAGCAGGTGGAAGAAAGTAGACAACCCTCAGAAATCCTGGTGCCTGTCCTGCCTCGTGCCCCGGGACTTTGGCCTCCTCGCTCCTCTGGACTGATTCACCGTTCACCTCCCAGGTCCCGGCCTGGGCAAAGGCCGGGGACAGTGACCACCCTCTGGGCAATGTCCAAGCTCCGCTCCTCCCTCTCCCCACCAGCTGCACTATCCTCGGTCCCACAAGAGCAAATGGCCTGGCTTTGGGGGGCACTCTGACCCCATCCCTACCATCAGATTTCAAACTCATCCAACTCCTGGGACTTCCACTTTCTCTTCTTCCTCCACCTCTCCTATGCTCACTTCCCTCCACTCACTCCTGTCTCCATGCTGTTCTTCCAAAGCCAACTTGCTTTGAACCTCAGGATCTTTGCTCATGCTGTTCCCTCTGCCTGGAAAGCTGTTCTCAAATTTCCCCTTGGTCTCTTCTTTTCATATCTAGGCTCAAACATCACCTCCCCAAGAGACCCCCCCCAGTCCCTCTGTCAGTCACTTTATGCTCAATTTCTCCTCTTCACCATCACTCACCTGCAGAGAATGTGTGCTCCATATAGGATCCATTACTGACTTGTCCCCATGTCCTTTGAGTTTGGAATACTGCCCAGCACACATAGGGGCTCAGCAACTTATTTTGTTATTGAGTAATATCATTGAGGGCCAAGGGAATTCCCATCCCCAATTCGGTCAAACATAACCCCCACAGAGGGGATTGTGGGAAGGGTTACACGTCACCAGACTACCTGCACAAAGCAAACCTTCCACCTCCTTGGGCTTTAGTTTCCTTGTCTGTAAACCAACCACCACAATGAACAAAATGTCCTCTTTGGGGATTCCAAAACGCCAATCTGTAGGATTGCTAAAGTTACTCTGAGTAAGATAATGTTCTACCCTTGTTTCCTGAAAGAGTGAGCTCCCCATTATGGGAGGCATACAAATTGGCCCCAGGATACCTGATTGGAATTCTATGGTCTGGATCAAGGATTCCAGACAAGTTTCCTCACTTCCTAGCTGGGTGTCCTTGAACCAGTGATGAAACTTCTCTGTACCTCAGTTTCCTCTTTTGCACAGTGGCACGGGCCTCCCAGACTGGTGAGGGCCAGCTGAGGGGTGTCTGTGAAGTGCTTTGCAAACACTAGGGGCAGAATAAGAGTTGAGAAGCTTTTTCGTAATTATTAAATTCACAATTTGGAGGATGCTGCAGAAATATCTGTGCCCAGACCCACAGTGCCCTATCCAGCCACTAGCCCCATGTGAACTTACCCACGTCCCCGGCGTGGCAGGCTCAGCTCCTTCTGCAATGAGACAAAAACAGGGGTCATTCCCCGAGAAACAAGCCTTAATATTCACACTTCACCCCTGGATGGTCCCTGCTCACACTGCTTGGTCATTGCTTTTCTGCTTGTTCCACACTCTGGATTCAGTCCTCCCTCCGGGCCTTCGACTCTTCTGTATCCTCTGCCAGCACTGTCCTCCCTCCTTGCTAGTCCTAGTTAATTGCAACTTATCCCTCAGGTTTCAGCTCAAGCATTCCTTCCTGCTGAAAGCCCTCCCTAACTCCCAACCTACCTCACCGTCATTTCATTGTGTAAAAATAATTTCATTAATAACAAACTGGTTATATTTATTTATTTTTTTGTGCTTTTATTTTTTATTTTTTTATTTAAATATTTTATTTTATATAATTCTTACATCTTTTTTCATCTTTGCACAATGTATGCATTTTCATTTTGGTTATATTCCCCATACAATTGCACCTCCCCTTATTTTGACTCTAGTCCTTCCTTTCCCCGCTCCTCCCTCCCCCACCCTTAGTGTGTCTGGTTTATAATTGCTTGTTGATTTTGATTTTTTTTTAATAGAGGCATGTTATTTATTTATTTATTTATTTATTTGTTTGTTTGTATTTGTTTATACATGCACTGGGTACAGTCAGAAGCGCGGGAGGGTGAGAGAATTCACCAGAGCCAGAGCGGGGAGCAGAGCAGGCAGAAGGACCGAAGTACACTGCTGAGGGGAGCAGCGGGCGGCAGGAGAGGTCTGCGCGCCATGTGGGACCCTCCTCTGGTGGCCGGGGAGCAGCCGGGGATCGAACCAGCGCCGCGGAGGCCGCAGGCAGCTTTGCAACCCAGTGCTCAACCGCTGCGCCACCAGGGAGGCCCTGATTTTGATTTTTACTTTGCATTGATTAGTCTTTTTCCTGGTCTCTTATTTAGGTTTTCTAGATTCCTGCTATGAGTGAGACTATCCGGTATTTTTCTTTTTCTTTCTGACTTATTTCGCTGAGCATGATCCCTTCTAGCTCCATCCATGTTGCTGCAAACTGCATATGTTTATCTTTTTTGAATGCTGAGTAATATTCCATCGTGTATATGTACCACATCTTCTTGATCCAGTCATCTATTTTTGGGCATTTGGGTTGCTTCCAAAGCTTAGCTATTGTAAATAGTGCTGCTATAAACATAGGAGTGCAGGTGCCCTTTGGAATAACTGTTTCTGTGTCATTTGGGTAAATACCTAGGAGTGGAATTGCTGGATCATATGGAAGCTCTAAGTTTAGTAGTTCAAGAAATCTCCACACAGCTCTCCACAGTGGTTGGACCCAAACTGGTTATATTTATAAGTGAAGTTTTTGTCAATAGTGGCTAAGTACAAATTTAAAATCTGTTGAGGAAAGGGAGGTCCTGGAGTGATCCTCATCATGCCCCCTCCCAGATGTGAAAGCCATACCACCTTCAC